CAACATGGTGAATGTCATAACTGCACTGGGGTAGTTGCCGTAGTTGCTCTTCAATATTAATCGGCACTGAGTAAACCAAAGCTTTCAAGTGGCCCCAGAAGTAGAAATCTAGTGGATTATTTCGTTTTTTAAAGCAATAAGATGTTTTAAAAATCATAAAATTTTGATTTTTCAATTAATTATTTGATAACTACTTGGTTACTTTTGAACCGCCATAACTTTCATAAGTTTATGTTGATTAACCAGTTAGCAATCCATCAGAGCAAACTCTTTGCCTTCAATTTTCTCGAAAACCATCGCTCTGGGCGATGTGCAACAAGAGTACCTTTTTTGTAGGAAAAAGTATGTAGTTTTCAAAAAATGAACCCACGTTGCAAAACTTGCCATGACGACACTAGCCCTCTTGGTTGCAATTTTATTGCAATTTTATTTATTGAAAAATTGCTCTTTATTCAAAATCTAAGCTAGATAGGTATAGGAAACCCTAATATAGTTTGAAAGAGCCTTTGAATCTGCTTCGGTTTATTTAAAAAAATACAGGGTGTTGTATTTGAAATAACGAAGTTTTTATGTAAAATAAATCCTTAAAATAGAACAGCAATTTTTGGTACCCCTGTATAAATTTAAGAAAGCAATAACACTTTTCAGTAGAGTTTATTTCTCTACCTTTAAACTTAGCACAAGAATTAATTCTGAAAAGTAAGGTACAGGGTGTAAATAATCTATTTTATTGTAGCATGCTTATTTAAATATCTTTAAATGTCTCAAAAACCAAAGATTTTAAACATATTTAACCCTTATAATAAACGCCTTTTTTTGGGCCCAAGAATTCAAAAATTAAATACTGGGTGTTCCATAAGAAAAAATATAACTTTGGTATGGATCTTAGTTCTGACATACCCTGTACATTTCAAAATAATTTTAAATTATGCACATTGCCTTCCTACATATAGGTACCCATAAAATATTTTGTTTCTACATCTTTCCGTTTTCGTATAATCAACCGAGGCGAATGAGGTGCGCCACCCTGTATATTAATTTTAACAAATTATATGAAAAAGGGAATTTTTTACCTAAATACAGGGACTCTTCGTTTAGTTCGAAAAGGTGAACGGTTTTCAAGATATCTGCGTTTAAAGATTACGATGCATCGATTTTAGTCTTAGTGAAATGATAAAATGTAAGGAAATCTTAAATAAACTAATCTCCTGATTTCGCTAATGCTCGAAATCGATGCATCGGAACCTTCAAATCAAATATCCTGAAAACCGTTCACTGTTACGAACTAATCGAATAGCACTATTTACATAAAAATCCTATCTTCAATTTTCATTTATTGAAATTACTGTATTTATAGGACAAAAAAGTACAACCAGTAGTACTCTCTACCATAATGGAAAGTACCTTTTCAGGGCTGTTACGGAATTTTACACTATCGCCATTCGCTTTGACATTAAAATGTATGTAAGAGCACCAAATTTTAGGAAAAACGGTTTACCAATATTCTTAAAAATAAACAAAATATGTTATTTTTATTTAACCTTTCGAGGGTTGTACGTTGTACCTTCTTCGAGAAGCATTTGAGGGTATATGTTCATAGGAAGTTTTTGTTTTACTTGTATCTGTAGAATCACCCACCGAAGTTAGATTTTTAACATTTTTAACGACCACTATTTTTTTGACACCCTGTATAATTTGGTTTGCTTAGAAGAATACGATACCACGCATATTTCGTAGAATAAAGAGTATGAAACGTGAATTGATAAACACTAGCAGTACAAATTTAGAATCCACCAGTCGTCAGGACGATCAGGGAATCACTCAATTTCTGCCTGTTCGTAAGTTGTACATTGTTGCCTATAATAGTTACTGTTCTTGATATTAAAGATAAGAACAGTTTTATTTATACATATAGGGAGGGATTACATCTGAAATATTTGAGTTTATGCCTCTTGCGATAATTAATCATAAATATCTTGATTTAGAAAAAAATATGTATCTATTATCTTTGCTATCTACTAAAATTATCTATATATACAGGGTGGCGCACCTCATTCGCCTCGGTTGATTATACGAAAACGGAAAGATGTAGAAACAATTTTTTTTGTAGGTATATGTAGAGAGGCAATGTGCATAATTTAAAATTATTTTCAAATGTATAGGGTGTGTCAGAACTAAGATCCATACTAAAGTTATATTTTTTCTTATGGAACACTCAGCATTTTATTTCATTTTTGCATTCTTGGGCATAACATAGGCCATTTATTATAAGGGTCTAATATGTTTAAATGCTTTGGTTTTTGAGATATTTAAAGATATTTAAATATGCATGCTATTACAAAAAAGTTTGTCACAACTCTGTACATTACTTTTCGAGTTAATTCTTGTGCTGACTTTGAAGCCAGAGAAATAAACTTTACTAAAAAAATTTATAGCTTTCTTAAATGTATGCAGGGGTATCAAAAATTGCTGGTTTATTTTAAATATTTATTTTACATAAAAGCTTCGATATTTCAAATACAACGCTATGTATTTCTTTAAATAAGTCGAAGCAGATTTAAATGCTCTTTCAAAATATATATTGGGGTTTCCTATACCTATCTGGCTCAGATTTTGAATAAAAAGCGATTTTTTCGTTCCGTTAAAATAACGGAGTTATTTTACTTTGAAAATTTCCAAAAAAAAATGATTTTTTGCTAAAATGTTGAGAACCACTGGATCTTTTCTGGATTTTCTTGTAAATTTAATGTTTGTTAATTAACCTATGTTGCCATATTATCAAGAAATTATGTTTTTTAACTAAAAACTAAAAAAATTTCGAATTTTCAAAATTTTTTTTTCGCGAAAAATACATCATAGGCATGTTTCTGGGGTTGAACTATACTACATAGAATATTTGCACTTATTTCTGGGACACCCTGTATATCAATATATAAAACGATATATTAGTATAGACTTTAATTTACTAAAAAAACTTAATCACTTTTTAAATTCGTGGATTTTATCAGTTTTATCATTTATTTATGTTTAACAGCATTAATTTTTCATTAATTTATTGTTACACAGCATTAAATAGATTATATTATTGTTATATTGTTAGATATAGTAAATTATACGTTATTGTTTTATTAATTTGTGATTCAAAAAGATAATAATACAAATAATATACCTAATATACCGCATTAAAAATAACGAATATCCGAAAATATCTATCTCCTGATAAAAAAATATACAGAACGCATACGAAGTTGCTCAGCTACGTAGATTGCCTTTTATGTTTTTAAGTGAAACAGAAACGAAGAAGTTGAAAAAAAAGTGTTTTGTTGCTTTTCAAAATATTCGTCCTTAAGGTCTATACATTTAACGATGGCGTCAGTATTGACGCCATCGTACGTCATCGTATGTCATGATATGACGCCATCATACGTATGATGAAACCAATTCTGGAAACATTTTTTCCACTCTGAAACTGATATCGGAGAAGCATGGTTGTGAAAGGCTTAACAGCTTCTTGAGGTAATGAAAATCGCTGTCCGCGTATCTTTTGATTGACAGTGAGTAACAAGAAAAAGTCATTGGGTGATAAATCGGTTGAATAGGGAGGGTTGAATGTTTTTCTCCTTCAAACATGCCATTGTCGTAGTGAAGAATGATGCGACGTTTTTTGTTCTCTTATTTCATCGAAAAGCGTTGGCAAACAAATATTGTATACCATTCAGCATTAACAGTTCTTCGATCCTCTAATGGAATGATTGCAACGTGTCCAGTATAACCGAAGACATAAGCGATTGTAAAAACTTAAAAGGTAACCTACATTATAACATAACATACTGTTACGTTTTTCGTCGGTTCCGTGTGGATAGAAAGTCCCAATTTATTTAAACACTATTTATTTACACTAATTAACAAAAAAAAACAATAACGATAAAAGACTTAAAGAACTATTTACAAACGATTTACAAATATTTATCTAGAAAGAATTTATTTTGAATTTCGCGCGTCATCTGTACTCGTCTTATTTATATCTGTCCTCTTTAGGCCCCAGCCGCCGGCTTTTATACCAACAGCTAAAGATTTCTAGAATAGTCCATAGATCGTTAGGTGCATAGAGAAGGATTCGATTGTTCTCGTATGTACTACTCCATTCCAGTGGAACTTTCTTCTCGAAACTTCGAATGAATCATTACGATGTCTATTCTTTAATGCGATATTAAGGTCATCTGAGGGCGGGCCATATAGTTAAGTTAGGTCGAGTCCACACCGGTCCGCAACAATACTTATCTTTTATTTCAAAGATATTTCACAAAACCTTACAATATTCTTCCGCTACTCAGATTCAAGCTGATCTTCATCATCAATAATTGATAATTCTACAAAGTATAAAAGGCCAATTTATCATTTTTCTTAGGCAATAATTAAACATTATTCAAAATTACTGTAGCTTCCTAATTTTTGCTTTTTGTAAGTAAAAGTAAAGCTTTAAGTTAAATTCAGCGTATAAAAATACGTTTACTACACAATGTACGAGTATCAGGAAGAGATGAGAGCATCATCAACACTAGCGGCTAGAGACAGGTGGCAACTGGCTTTCGGCTGCTTTCGACTAGAAGCTCGGGCGCCGCACTCCACGTGTGCATATAAATACAAAAAAACTCACACCAAAGACTAACCAACGCAATCAAAATACGCCTACGGCGTATTTTGATTGCCAGAGAGATTTTGATTACCAGAGACAACTTCGTCGGGGCAGGCAGATAATCGGCGATGCCGAAAGCCAGTTGCCGCCTATCTCTAGACGCTATTATCATCAACAGATGGTTTTTCGGTTCCAGTGCATTCTAGTGCAAAAGTAAAGTATTTTGGTGTCTTGTGGTGAATTAGTGTTTAATTTTGCTGTTGTAACACCAAAGGATCCAACCTCCAACTGTAATATTGGAATTGCTTTAATATAGACCTGCAAATGACTGAGATAATAGATGAGCAAATAAAACACAGATTCGTTTTTAAGTTAAGATTTATTTGAATTAATTAGTATGGTTGAATAGTCATTTCTCCTCTCATTACTTGCTTCATTAGCTGAAACAAAAAAACGGGTTACTATTTAATTATTATCTATGTATATTTATTATATTCTTAACGTCTATAGCTGCTAGGCAGTTATATCCAAATAAATCCAAGAAATTAAACATTTTTGCCACATTAAACCAGTAAAAATATCTATCATAATATCTTCTCTGTACAGGGTGGCTCGAATTCGACGCTCATCATTGGGATTTCGGAAACCGTAAGAGATACAGGATCGGTTAAATGGAGGCAAAGTTGCGCAATTTGATGCTCAATAAAATCCCGTATTGCATTTTTTTATTTTTTTTGCATAAAATATTCTGGTGATGGAATTTTCTGTACGAAACGTCGGCAAATATCAAAGTGACTATATATAGTGTTTTCAGAGTGATGAAACGATTTAATTAAATTGAAAAAAAATCAGGTCCGTATTTAAAAAAATTAAGTTTATGATGGTCGCCAGAAGACGAAACGTCAGAGTCAATATTTCATCAGAGTTATAGAGCAGAAAAAGTGGCCATAAAAATGTGTTTTTCATTTTAAGTTATCTTAACAAATAAAGCCAGTAAACAATAGAAAACAAAATTGAAAATTCCGTTTTTTTTTTCGAATATATTCGGAAGTATTCGAAATTTTTCAAAATGCAATACGGCATTTTATTGAGCATCAAATTGCGTAACTTTGTCTCCATTTAACCGATCCTGTATCTCTTACGGTTTCCGAAATCCCAATGATGAGCGTCGAATTCGAGCCACCCTGTACACGAATCCGAAAGACGTTCTACTATAAAAATGTTATACTACTATATAAAATTTCATACCTCAGCTCTTTCTTCAGACTTCTTTTCCATGCCGCAAATAACCATCAGTTTAGTGTAGGCTGCTTCAACGGTTATATCGTAACACGGAATAATTCCAATTTCCTCCATACGCTAAAAATATAAAAAACACTTATATAATAATAATAGCTCCCGTATATAGCGTTTAACGCCTTGGGAGTAACAAGGTACAGCTTGCCATACTAGAGCCGTTCGGTATAAAAGGAAGGTAATGTGGCTAGCACTACGCTTCAACCACCTATTATTACCTTAGGATTGTGAATCCCAAATACTCATTTAAGGCTGAATCGACCTAAGTACCCAAACTATTTTTATTTTGATAAAAATAGTCGGCTGATGAAATGCCGGGTGTAGGATTCAAACCCACTACCTTGAGATTGGTAGACGAGAGCCTGTACCTCTACGCCACCGGGCTCAAAAAAAATTGGCGCCGGGAGGCACGTATAGCCGCCCATACTAAAATATGTTAATAATCCAAATTATTAACAAAAATTAATCTCAAAAACGGGACTTTGACTGATTTTTATGTTATTATAAATTTTGTTGCAAATATTATTCCTAATCTTAAATTGAAAACCGCGTTTCTCTAGCTAGTGTAATATTAGAGTTACAATTTTTTAAAATTTGTAACCCCCTCCCATACCCCCATACCAACCCCCCACCCCCACCAAAAACTAATAGCCAGATTCTCGGATGCCACAGTATTTTTGTGCCAAATTTGGTTAAGATTGGTTGAGCGGTTTTTGAGTTATCGTGTTACAGACGGCAGACGGACAGACGGACAGACAGACAGACGGACAGACGGACAGACGGACAGACGGACAGACGGACAGACGGACGGACAGACGGACGGACAGACGGACGGACGGACAGACGGACGGACAGACAGACAGACAGACAGACAGACAGACAGACAGACTGACGGACGGACGGACGGACGGACGGACCGACAGACAGACAGACAGACAGACAGACAGACAGACAGACAGACAGACAGACAGACAGACAGACAGACATACAGACATACAGACAGACAGACAGACAGACAGACAGACAGACAGACAGACAGACCTATTGGTATGGTCGGCTAAAAATATTTATTAGTAGTCAAGTAACTGCGAAAACGGAATTTTGCAAATGAATTCCTTAAGTGTTGTATTCGAAAAATTTTTGGAAATCCATCTTCCAAGAGGATAAAAATAGAGGATTTTCTTTGTAAAACTTCACTTCAATCAACTTTGGCTTTAAAAATAAAAACTTGTACAATGTTCTTTTTAAATAACATTTGTTATTACGATAAAGGGATTTTAGTAAATTCATCTCCTAAGGCATGTGCATCAAAAGCAACATGAAAAACTGGACAAACGGTGTATGAATATTTTTTTACTATTTGGTCTGGGAGTTTTACAAAGGATTCTTGGAGATATATAAATACTCCCTTACTTCTACATTCTTCTCTGTAGTGTGAGTGGACCGACTAACCCTTGCGATGTAATTCACCTCAAATACAAGGAGGCAGTAGAGAATGAAGAAGAGGGATATATCCTCTATTATAGATTCGGGACAACACCGGTATCAGGTCTAAGGAGAGACCAAGTTAAAGAGGTGGTAAAATAGGAGACAGATCCTCCAGCCTCCACCTCACGGGTACTTCAGCCGGATACAAGCTCCTTGACTGTGAAGGGCACGGAGGGCTAAACCCCAACCGTGGAAGGGTGTATACCTTCGTAGAAGGTAGATGCCCACTTCTCGAAGTATGATGAGTTATAGACTGTATGATGAGCTATAATTCAAGAAAAGGGAACACAATAGATATTTAAGGTCGCGGTGATTAACCCCCTCTTACTCATTCTACATTCTACAACATCCAGAAGAAGATCAAAGCAATTTTCCAGGAATCATTGATTTCATTATAAGGTAATTATGAGTGAATATTAGGGTGCACCAAAAAAAGAATATTTTTTTTTTCTTTTTAGTGTATACCCTCCTAGAATGTAGATGCCCACTCCTCGAAGTATGATGAGTTATAGACTTTATGATGAGCTATAATCACAGATTAGGTATCCTATAAGTATACAGATAAAAATCTTGTCCCTAATTCGTGGTACGAAAATTGTTTTTTATGACGATGTGCAAACGAGTCAAATTTCCTGTGCGCAAAAATAAACTCGCGTAAAATAACAATAAACAGCGTAATAGAGAGATATCGCTAAACCGAATAGCGTGCATGGACGTTAATAAGGCCAGGTGTTATTTCCTTTACGTGAGGTGGTATTAACTCTCTTCATTTAAGCTACATGCACACTGGTGCGATCACGGCCGCGATCACGATCACGATCAAGGCAGCAATAAAGTGTTTTTACACTTAAATCCTTGATCGTGATTGTGATCGCGGCCGTGATCGCGCCAGTGTACGTACAGCTTTATAGTTATCGGATCGGAAAGAATTCTGATCGCGTCGCGTCCGCTATTTAAACTTAACCTAACTTTGAATTTAAAACTTTGAAATTGTTTTGTTTACTAGGTATTTTAAAACTAAAGGGCTAAAGTGCTTATTTCCAGTGCTTTATTGTTCAACGTCTGCCAGTGAGTTTAGGGCAACAAGCAACAAATTCTCTTAGAAGGGCTAAGTCGTCATCTGCTGTAAACCTAAGACTCTTTATAGGTTCTTTAGTATTGGAAGAGGTGGAATCCATATTTTGGGCCATATTTATTTAACTAAAACTAATTCCAGCTACTTAAATATCAAATTACCTAATAAAACTAAAGCAATAATTCAAAACAATTCAAACATAACCTAAAATAAAAGATCTCGCCGGCCGGCCCCGATTGTCAAATACCCGCAAATGCCAATTTAAGCAATTTTTAAACGTTATCAGAGGTTATTTAGAAAGAGCGCTTGGTGTAATTGATCCGCAAATTACGTCAGGCGGTAACGTTATTAGCGGGTGTTGCGTTAAAAATTGAGTCGCGCATATCGTAACCATGATAAGGTACGCGTAAGTACTGGATGACGCTATTCGGTTTTCCGATATCTCTCTAATAACTGTGCCAGTCAGGCGCTGTGCACAATTTTAGAGGCCATAAGTGGGCGTGCTATGTGCGCAAACTAGTCACCTAACTAGTGCCCGATTCCGAAAATTGCAACCACGAAAAACAATAAAGAAAAAACAAAGATTATAGTCTGTATAATCTGTGCTATAATTCAAGAAAAGGGGACACAATAGATCTTTAAGGTCGCAGTGATTAACCCCCCTCTTACTCATTCTATATTCTACAACATCAATAAGAAGATCAAAACAATTTTCCAGGAATCATTGATTTCATTATAAGGTAATATGAGTGGATATAAGGGTGCATAAAAAAATATATATTTTTTTATTTTTAGTTACAGTGAAAATATCGTTCAGGATAATGAAAAAAAATCTGATAAAGTTTGATCTTTTAATATTAATATTAAGAGGTGTCTCATCGCGATTTCCTATTTCCGATTTAAATAACACGGAGAAACAAATTTTTCTTCTTTGGAATTTCATTGCATTCTCACAAATCAGCGTTTTGTAAAAATCAATACATTGTAAAATAAAGTAAGTGGTAAATTGAACGGTCTTCAAAAAAGGTCTGATATGAATTTTCATTTAATCGACTCGTTTGAAAGTTATTGAAGGTTAAATTTCAACTTCAAATCGTATATGATATAGTCTGTCCAACGACAAGATCCTTGACAGTGATAGATGTGTCTGTCATTTTATTTTCAAAGTAGTATATTTTATTTTACAAAGAAATTAGTTGGTACAATTGGAACGCATAGCAGAAAATTAATATATTTAAAATTTGAGTGACAATTCAAAATATTGTGAAAAAAAACTGTATAAAATTGAAAAAATATAATCGAGTTATTTTATTAAAGACAATTACAGTATGTGTTAATACAAAACAAGCAAGGATTTATTTTAAAAAACCGCATATCAAAAAAAGATATAAAAAGATTTCTTGCTTTCAAGTCGTGTTTTAAGCTCACGCAACTTCCAGCATTTATTGTTACATTTATTAATATAATTATTTAATATGATTATTATTATTTACCTATCGTGTGCTGCTATTTTACTGTATACTCCAGTTTTTGGTATCATATATAAGATAGTATACAAACTTTATTTGTGGCTAATACAACTCAGTGGCCATAATCTCTGGCAAACTGTCTCTGGGCACCGAATATTAACTATAAACTATGGTTTGGGTCAACACTTAATTTCCCCTTTGAGTTTTCCTCCACATAATTTTAAAAAACACGAAACACACGTAATAACACAGTCCAAAATGCAAAATATTTATCATTTCTATTTGACATAATTTGACACAAAATTATAAACAAACAAACAAACAACGCTTTATTGTGCAAAAAGCCAAAACAGCTTCATCGACAAAGCACTCACAAACAACAAAATCACAAAAAAATACAAACAACAAAAAATACACAATACAAATAATACAATTAAAAAAAATTTAAGTCTTTAAAATTACAAAAAGAATATACATGGACAATTTTAGAACAGTACGCAGTAAATAGATATAATTTTAAAGTTATAGAATATTAAATACTTGACCTTTGACCAGTGTGTGAGATGATCAAAATTTTAAAATTCAAAATTGTTCATAATTAAACATCAACAAGAAAGTCGTTTACCGCATATAGGGCTCTCTCCAGTAGGTATGATTTTAGAGCCTTGCGAAATGCGGGAAAGAATGAAAGCGATTTGATATTCAAAGGCAGATGATTGTACATTTTTTTGGCATTGTACAGTATTGATCCCTTAACTAGTTCTGAGCTCGGGGTTGGCAGATAAAGATCGTGCTCTGCATTCCTAAGTGGATAGTTATGAGATGGCCTTTCGGGAATAGCAGATATGTGCTTGCGGATTAAGCAAACGGATTCAAAAATGAATAAAGAAGGAAGAGTCAGTATTTTCAAATTTTTAAAGAAATTCTGGCAGTGAGTTCTACTGTTCAGTCCCAATAAATATCGAACTGCTCTCTTTTGAAGTATGAAAACACGATCAAATTTTGTTGCGCAGCAAGTACCCCAGAATGGA